TCCATACTTGCCAAGCTTGAGATCTAGAAAATAGGGATGGGGTCTGGGCCCCCCCCAAAAAAATTTGAGTTTCAGAGACATTGTTTCCCGCATACTAGCAACTTTAAATGAATGAAAATAACAAAATAATAAATACACTGCAAGTAAAATACTTTTAATTCAACTTTTAACTCTCAGTGAATACAAAATAATTTGCCTTCTTTAGCAAGAACTGACCTAAAAATAAACGTATCGGTTTTCTATTGTTCAGGGGTCTCAAACTCATCTTATTTCATGGGCCATATATAACCCAATTCAATCTCAAGTAGACCAGTAAAGCTACTGCATAATAGCCAATAAATAGCAACAAAGAGCAAATAAATAGCAAAGCTGTAAAAGAAGATTCTGAAAACACAGTTAATCAACCAGAAATATCTGAGAAAAATGAGTGCAATTTCAACTATGTTAGTCTAATGAGCTAATGTAAAAGAAGGTTAAGTTGTCTCCTGTCTCCATGTCCTACTGGGCACCAGAAGAGGAGGTGCAAACAGCTCTCACATGCATGCTAAGAAGGTGCAGTTGTCTGGGCACCGTACTAGGAACAGGTTGTAATAACAAAAGGGGGAAAAGGTGGGACATTTTGTCATAAACAGGGAGAGGGTAGTGAAAAATGGGAGTCTCCATGGAAAATCTCTCTGACATTATCTGTGTGGTGATCTGGTCCAATCTGGACCACGGATGGTTTACAGACAGTGCAGCCTCACACATAGACACTAGTGGCTGCCGGTTATTATATAAACTGTGTTTAATATTAACACTGTGGCTAACTTGCTTACGTGTCAACATGAAACACGTCCCTGTCTTCAGGTTAATGTGGTCTATGCAAACTGGTGTCTGTGTGTGGTCAAAGATAATTTGTAAGAGAAAAGAAGCATCTCTTTGTGTGGGCTGTGTTTTTACAGTTCAACAGCACGAACAGTGTTAGTCATCTATACAGCTGATCACGTTATGTTAATTTCAGGGTCAGAAGCTCACTGCATATTGTAATACTTTAATTATATCAACAGCATTGAACTGGGACCTCCAGTATGTTGAATGCAAAGGAGTAATGCCAAACTACAGCTGTAACTGCAATGTGTGAAGTAACCTACATATTTAATCACCATTTTATATGGTCTGCTGATTCATTTGCCAAAACAGATACTTGGACAGAAACCTAGCTGCAGCCTTCATCACTGTTTCGTGTCCCACTGAGGTGGAAAAAGCCATTCCAGATGCACTGACTTGTTGTTACTGTGATGAGCTGACATTTGCTGTTGATAACTTTGTTCTACACGAGCATGCTATGCCTGCCCAGATCACACTGTGGACAAAGTTGCCCCCCGCCAGACATCACAAAAGCTGTTTCCTCTGTAAAGGTAGGCTATACTTGGCAAACAAATAAAGAGGACATAATTGCAGGCTGAGAACAATCTTGTGGTTCCTGTAAAAAGCTGGTCCCTTTTCTGGTGGTTACACTTCTATAAATCCCATCCTTAGCAGTGGGATTTACAGGCAGGCTAAGCTCTCTCTGGCCAGGCCCATCGATCTTTCCTCTAATGCTCATCTAAAGTCAAGTTAGGTTTTACATGACTTTTTACTAAAGTAACTCTGTTACTCTAGCATCCACTTAAGTTTTCTTTAACCTCTTAAGAGCCTTATCAATCCCTTAAATTCTTTCCTTAGCAGCTGTCAAAGAAATCTGCTTGCTCCTTGGTGGTTCAAAAATTCAAAGCGACTGTTGTTTAAGGTCCAGATGAAAATATTCTAGATGATTTGAGCATAATTTAGTACATCTTTTTCACAAAAATATAATCATATCTGATATGTTTAAAAGTTTGGGGGCTTTTTCTTCACAAGGAGGCTGTACTCAACCTCCACTCCCTATTTATACATACATACATACTTAAAGTCACCCTCTCACATCCTGAGGTTTGTAGAAATGTTAAATGGGTTACATGCTTCTTGCGATGGGCTCCACAGACAACTGCACACTCATTGTTCTGTGGGAACCCTAACCCAACCATTTCCCTTTTCCAACTCTTTCCAAACTGCACTGATAATCCGATAACAAACATATGTGCAAACACTGCAAGAACATAAAGCCAATAGAACCCTGCATGCATGTGCTAGCGCACAAACACAGAACTATCACTTTACTTCTCCTGCTCTGTTCTTCTACAGCTGCCTTTCTGTGTGCTTAATATACAGTGGCCCACAGCGCCCACTCCAGTGTCAAAGGAACAATAATGCTCATGTGGACAAGAGTGTGACTTGTTCAAGTACTGTATGCACACACTTACTGTTATAGACACTGCACACACTCCAAGAAGCTACTGTATCATGCACAGGTTACCACACATTACACTGGTTTACTCAGCCCTCACTGGGCATCTATTTTCTACAATTGCCACTACACCTGAATGAGACAAAGTGGGTAATTTTCAGAGAGATGTCTCTCCAAGCATTATTTTTTTATTTAAAACAGTACTTTACAGAACTGAGTGGAGTTGAAAATAAGCCTGCTTTTGTTGTGCTTGGTTGCTTTTAAGGTGTGGCTCTAGTGTGTCATGGTGAACTTTGCGTAGTTGAACCTTAAAGTTGAATCAGCATGCTCAGATTTAGATTTGCAGAGGGCGATGCCAGGATGTTATTTCAAGGTCCAGTTCACAAAAAATGGCATTCTGTCATGGCTTTGATGTCAGGGTTAGGATTTCAGCCATTGTGGATTCTTTTGTGTGGAGATGTTTCCAGCACATCTTGCTAGGAGAAGACCCTAGAAGACGCTGGAGAGAGTGCCTTTGTTCTTCCCCCCGGAAGAAAAAAATGTAAAGAAAGGAAAGGTTTTTCATGGTGTGCATGTGACCTATTAGTTCCAAAAAGAGATCAATTTTATAATATCTGCAAGTGCCAAATCAAAGGCATCTTGACTCACTGAGTTTTCATTACTGGGTAATGTTTTTACGCGCACTTGGTTTGTTCACAGCATTACTCAAAAAGTAATGAGTGGGTTTTGATAATAGTTTTTTGAGAGCTATGGTATGCCCAACAAAAGAATCCATTCGATTTTGGTGCTGATCCGGATCATCAACCAGATTCTGGAATATATTTAGAGGATTCTTCACCACTGGGAGATAGGGCCAACAGGACTCAGAAAACTCATGACTGAGGCAGAGTATGGATTGGGCTGCACATTTATGTCTGAACCTGTCTTGAGCCTACACAGTTGTGTTTGTGCTGTGCTTTTCTGGTATGGCCCTTGTGCATCTATTATCATGGATAGCATTGTCATGCCCCTAATGGTCCCAACCCAGTCCAAACCCTCAGGTGTTTATGGGTCCCGTCAGGTTCAGTTTGGGTATCCACCCCCTACTGTTAGACAACATATAATGCTACAGACTTGTCCCTGCAAACTCTCTGTCATCCAGGTCATAGTATGCTGAAAAAATGTAGAAGAAATCATCTGGCACACACGCATTTATCTGAAACACTAGGACTGAAACACCACCCAGGGGTACCACCTGCTCACCACCAGTCGGACAGAACTGATGAAGCATCTTGAATGAGAGGTGAAACGTCTTCTAACTAAAACTATGTCCAGATGATTTCTTCTGTGTTTTTTCAGTATAATGCTACAAACATGTAACTAAGATCCAATTCTAGCTGAAACCCTCCTGACTCAGTAAGGCCTCAACAGATTTCACATCTTGAACATTTTCTTATATACAGTACATCATGAAGAAAACCGGCAGTACTGAAATATCGTTTTCATTAATAATGATATCAATTTCATTCCATATGCTACAGATAAGTTGTAATGGTCAAAGAATCACAATGTGAGGGCCAGACTACTGTGGGAATATAGCTTTTTGGTGTAATGGCATTACGGGAAAATTGAATTACCTTGGTGGAGGTTTGCACTCTCTGAATGCTTCTATGTTAAGACTTCTATGTTAAGACTACACCCAAGCATTTAAAAGTCCCCTGTGGGGTTTCTGAACTCTAGTAGCACTATGGGGAAGTACTTGTTTATGAGTTCCTGTTTTGTTTTCTTCCTTGTGCATGAGGACACATTTGCATGTGGGTGAGACAAACAGTCCAGCCAATGGTTTCACACTATTCCTCTGATGTACATGTTGTAGTAATGTGCCAAAATACACAGCAATGCACTAACAAAGACAGAGAAAAGGAAGAGTGCTAACTATGAAACATGAATTCAACCTTTTACAAAATAAAATTTGAAAATGTTTTATGAGGAATGCAAATATAAAACTCAGTTTGAACCCAAAAACACATTCACACCACGATGCCTGGGAATCAGTCAGAACTGAAGTAACTTTGGAAGAGGACTGATGAAGCCTCTTGGATGAGAGGTGAAACATCTTCGATCTAGAAATCTAAGTCCAGTTGATTTTTTCTAGGGTTTTTTTCAGTTTACTATGACCTGGATGACTGAGAATCTGCAAAGACATTTTATTATATCTTATTTTTTGTCATCCACTGTGCATGACAAAAGAAGGCAAGTTTTTTTCAGTTTGGAAGAGGAGCAAAACTTCAAAATCTAACACAAGTCTCTTTCCTTTTGACTTAGCACGTCTAGATTTACCAAGACATGGATGAATCGACAGACACCAATCTTACTGCCAGAACATACAGTAGTGTAATTTAGACTTTGTATCACCACTTTAAGAAAGGCCTTATTTAAACATGTCACTGTCCCTGTAGATAAAACCAGCTCCATGGAAATATTCTAAATTAAAATTTAGCGTAACATGTACTGTATGTTTTAAATCTTGACAATCATATAAAATACATGACAACATTTAAACGTGAAATCACTGGTGGGCTGCTGGACGTGTTTAGATATCTAACCTTATCAGCACACATTACAGCACACATCACTCACGCACAAACATCATATCACACAGGTGATTGATGGGTAGTTCCACTCGGTCTGACATCTGTCTTTCTCTCTTTCACAGTGAGCTTTATGGACTGCGGTGGCAGGAGGGTGTGGTTTAAGGTTGGAGATCCATCTGATTTCAGGGTGAGTGAGGATGGTGTGGTCTATGCCCTGCAGTCCCTCAGCCTGGCGAGAAAGGAAAAAACAGTGGTGGTGGTTTACGCTCAAGACCTGCAGTCCAAACAGGTCTGGAAGACCAGAGTGCACCTCCATGCACATGCAAGTGGGAACAGCACCGGACATGAACAGGTAAACCAGTAGTGGAAGTAGAGAGCTGTATCCTTGTTGTGTAATTTTCAGCACACTGTGTATGGAATAGTTTACAGTAAACATCCAGAAATGGCCTCTTCAGTTACATCTTTTAACCTTCAGTAAGCAGGCTTTCTCATTATCCTATGTTTGCATTCATTGTTTAGTTAAAGCTACTGTACAATATGCAACTTAAGGGACTAGCATGAGACTCAATCAATCCAGTACAGTTCACACAGCCCTTCCTCTGCTACTTCAGGTATTAGTGTTTATGAATTTACAGCATATAGGAATGCTACAAGCCTAAGCCAAGAAAAAAAAGACAATTCTGCTGATAGAAATTCTTGATGTAAACCTAACTTTGTCAGTTTCTTTTCAGTTTTCTTCCTTTTCTTCAAGAGTAAGGGTGTAAAGATAAGCAAATTGGAAAATCAATGCAAGAGTTCTATGTACAAACCACAGATTCAAACCAAATGTGTTTAAAAACGGTTTAAAATTGATATGGACTTCATAAATTATCTTAGCAAATTTTCTGTTCTCGCTGTGCTCCGCTCTAGTGTGTGCCTCTCTTGTGTGTGTGTTTGTGTGTGGGGGTGTGTGTGCCTTTGTATTACTTACATTTAGGGGACCGAAACCTGTTAACACACTTACATTGTGGGACTCACTGAATTTTAGGGTGGCAACATGGTTTAAGGTTAGGGTGAGGTTAGGTGTTAGGCAAGTAGTAGTTATGGTTAAGGTTAGGATATGTCTAGAGGAAATTAATGTAAGCCAATATAAAGTCCCCACAAGGAATAAAAACACAGCATGTGTGTGTGTGACGCACCATCTCCTGCCTGAATTCAATCTCATTCCTATTTCCTAACAGTAAAGACAGATGCAGGAGCAGACAGTGCTAGTGCACACTTTCAGAGTGCAGAACTTGCAGCCCTTGTGCCGAGTATAGTGGAGGAGTAAAGGGGCTTTCAGACTGGATGCCGTGAGCACTGCGCTCTGCGGGCAAACCCATTCATTTCTATGTGTTGCACCGAGCTGAGCTCAGCGCAAAGGTGTGTGTGCCATCTCTACATGCTAAAAAAAGTTCCACTTGGGACAGACCACAAGGAGGATGGAGGATAAGATCATTTTGGCGGTCCCACACCCTCTTCTTCTTTGCTGCAGCTCATCTCCTCCTCATCATCAATACAGCTAAAGACAGAGCGTTTTCTGACATGTGGATGGATGCATTGTACATCCAAGGCTGCTGCTGGAAAAGCTAGTTAATACCTGCTAACCACTTCCTGGAAAGCTTTCTAGTCACCAAGCAACTGGCGCCCAACATGTGTGCTATTTGCGTGTGTGCGCTCTCCTCCCCTCTGCTGCGCCCAACCACTGCAGCCAGCACAGCTCACCGCCTCCTATCTGAAAGCCCTTTAACGCAGATCTCTCTAGTAGCAACGTTATGAAGGCGACGCACTGTTGAACTGGTGTATGAGTACAGTGTGCTGTGAGCAGCTACTTTCAGAGCACATCAGATTTTAACTCCTCCCAGTCATATTGAAGTCAGTAGCTGAAGCTAAGAGCTATTTCACTGGCAAAGATGTACACCTGTGTTGTTGAAAATGTGGGATTTGGACAAATGACAGTGAGTGAAGCTGAGGCCCACAATAACAATAGGATTTAAGTGAAAAATGCATTCAGCTCTGTATGAGAAGGTGAAACGGCAGCTGGAGGTTTACTATTCACCAGTGCCCACTGTTTACTGCTGTTAAAAAGAGACATCCTGTTTTATGGATATGGCTTTTGCTGCTTGAAATACAAAACTGTTTTGAGGAAACACTGACTCTTTTTAATTTTATACCCTAAACGGATACTTTAATGTATGTATAGGCTTTCGCATAAAAGCTAAATTAAAATTGAATATCTGTGGAATCGAATTGAAATCACTCTGAATCATATCATTACAAATTTAGCTGTATCATTTTTGTATCTAATCATGGACCACGTATACAGATGCATTTAGAATTGTGTGAGGGAGAGATACACACCCCTATTCGAGAGTCTTTCTTTTCTTTCCATCTTAGTCGTGTACGCCATTTCAGCTAATGCTGGAATCAGGAGCGAGCCTGTGAGTCAGCCTCAGTGACGTCTGAAGCCTCTGGGCAATGAAGCACTTGATCTCATGTCTATCAGTGTGTTGATTGACAACCATGAGCTCCCACCCTTGACCTTTTCTAATTGGTTAAAAGGGTGAGCTTCACACAAAAACACTTAGAAATGAATATCTCTACACTGCTGCCAGGCTGCTTAATGAGTCCGGGTCACAGGGTTCTTTGGCAGCACGTTTCCACATTAAGATATGTTTTGGAGTATACTTCAACTAAAAATAAAAAAGGAACACATATTTCTATGAGATGGCACTGTGTTTTCCAATCTGCTCCTCTTTAAGTGAGTGCTGGAAAAGCACCCTCAGTTTGTTCTCCTGCTCACCCATTCGTCTTTATTATGATAGTACATACATTTAGAATTTAAATACTGTCAAACAAATTGAGTGATTAAAGTAAATTGTTTAAATTAAATTATGCAGCTTAGTCAGGAGACTTACCTTTGGTGGTTAAGGCATATTTCAGCTATTTTATATGGATTTTTTAAAATAATATACTTACAGTCAAAGCCTACGGCATGAAAGATGCGACTGCTCAAATTGTTTTCAAAGGCTACTAATCTGCCAATTGAAGTCTAATCTGCTGGGAAGCCTCAGATTTTCAAGGTTGTATTCTTTGTTGTGCTACGTGTTACAGTTTTGGAGTAATTTAATTGTAAAGTGAGTGGTTTCCCAGCCCTTCTGAGACTTCTTCAGTTAGGGGACTCCCTAGAGCAGGCATGGGCAAACTACGGCCCGTTAGGCCTTTTAATCTGGCCCGCCGAACTTGTCCAAATGATATTATTAAATTATGTTATCATTAAACCTCATTCGTTTTGCCTTTTCTCTACAATGCCTGCGTTTTCCCAAGTAGATGGTAGATCACAGCATCATTCATCAGGAATCTCTGTGTAAGTCTGTATTGCAGCTTAATCATGTCGTGAATCCAGCCATAAGACTTGTTAGCTTTATACGAGCAAGGGAACTTCAGCACCGTCAGTTCATTACATTCCTGGAGGAAACCCAGTGGTGGTTTTTAGCATGGGCGGGGGGTGAGGTCTCGCCCGGGGAGTAATTCAATGTAGAACCGCCACTGACGAAACCGATGTGGATCACCAGGACTTACTTTACCACTCTCTTGTCCGCTGATTTGGGCAAAGTGTTTCAACGAGTGTGACTAATTTCCTGATCTCAGCTGTGGACACTTTTTTCACACATGAATTAGCTGAACGTGAAGCTACAGTTTGTGCACGACATGTACACAAATGTGAGAGCCTTCAAATCCAAGCTGAATTTATTCTCCAGACAAATTTCAAAATTTCTCATTTTCCCACACTAGCCATGCAGAAAGAGGCCACCCGAAACGTGAAGAAATACAACAAATCACTGGACGACCTGCACGGAGAATTCTGCCATCGGTTCTCTGATTTAAAAAAAAAAATTCACAAGTCACTTCAGCTGGTTTCCTGTCCCCTGTCACAAGACCCTGAAACAGCACCACAGGAGCTGCAATTGGAACTAATCGATCTTCAGTCTGACTCCATTTTAAAGGAGAAGTTCAACTCTCTTAAACTGAATGACTTTTATGCTTCACTTAACGAAGCCACGTTTTCAAACCTCCAGAAGACAGCACAGAAGATGCTGCCGTTGTTCGTCTCGACCTGTGTGTGTGAGCAGATGTTCAGCATCATGAACATCAACAAAGCCAGTCACAGATCCATGTTAACTGACCAACACCTCAGATCTATCCTGAGAAGAGCCACAACAAAACTAACTCCAGACTTTGATGCACTGGCTAAAAAGGGAGACCAACAACATTGTTACACTGAAACTGAAGGTTTAATTCTCTACTGTGTTATAAAAAAAAATGCATTTGGAGAATAATTTGTACGATAAGCCTTGCATATTCATGCTTTGCTAGCTGTTAAAGTCAAAACCTTTTATGTAATGGCTTTTATATGTCATTTATATTAGTTCACACAAACACTCCATCCTTCTGCTCCTGGCCTGGCCCCTTATCAAATTTTAGAACCCATTGTGGCCCGTGAGTCAAAAACTTTGCCCACCCCTGCCCTAGAGTGTAAAACAGTGTTTTTTGTGGGTTTTTCCTTTTTTTTCTAAACTGTTCCCTATTCTGCATTTGTAATGCTTCAACAAATAAAGCACCTTAATATGTAGCCACAAGCCTCATGAATCTCAAACTGCAAACATTTAAACCTCAGTAGATATAGTTTTTGTCACCTAATGTTAAACTGACAGGTAAAGCGCTGCCAAGCTCTCATTCACTGTGGTAGAAAGTGCTTACTCCCTAAGGTTGTCTTCAACTTACACATTCTCCTTCATTTTTTAACAATGTGTAAGAAATAATTACTTTTTTGTTCAGCTACTCTAGGTGCAACAGATGATGTAAAATATTTGGCAGCAATTGTGTGGTCTAACTGACAATACATTCTTGTGTTTATGCTTCTACTAACAGCTAAAAGCTTCAACACTTTAAAAACACCTGCTTTACCAGGTGGTCATGGTAGTTAAGGTTTGACACTTCAGTCTCATGGTCAGAAAGTGCAGAGTTCACTCTGCTGTGAACTTGTGAACTAAAAATGAATTTGAGAGTACTTTGCTTGTTGGCCGTGGTGGCTCAATAACACTTTGGTTGCATACTCAGAAGATGTAGCTTTCAGTTCCCACTGAGGTCAGGCAGTTTCTTCATGAACTGCCTTTTGTAGTTTACACATTATTCAAATCTTTTTCCATGCTATGTATAATGCCCATTTACACATCAGTACAACAACAGTCACATCACACTCACTACTCTGCTGCTCCCAGAAACACTGGTTGGCCCCCAGTTTACCAGTTCTCATCACAGATAAGTTAGTGTCAATAGATTTATTAGATTTCTGCAGCGATTTTTCAAATTAAAGCCCCTTAGTGACTGAAAGGACATTAATTTCTTCTTTTCTCGCCATCTCTTAATTTGAAAACATCAAGAAATGTCGAGCTCATAAACTGAAATGCCAAGTAGAAGCAAATGGAAATAACTATTGAATGAAAATCAGTGTTCCAACTGGGACGAGGGGCTCGGCTCCCCAGGGGACAGCAGCACTCCCCTGGGGTCTCCAAAAACTGATAAAACTGTGCACCTATACATAATTATTGTGCATGGGTTTGATGGCAGATCAGTGGTTCAATGACTGGAGCTCACATCCTGAAAGTACATTCATTTCAGCAGCCTCTCTCCTCATTTCTGTCATGCATTAAAGCTGATCATTCTGTCAGTCAGCACTCAGTGAAAAATGAACTGCCCTTCCTGATCACACACAGACATCGATCATTTGTAAAGATAAGTCAGAGCTTATCTCAGAGCAGTTCTAGTTGTTTTAATATGCTATTTTATGAAAAACAAGCAGAAGTGAGCACTGCCTTTCTTTGCACAATAGATATCCTCCATTTTCTCTTATTAGACTCTGCTCAGCTGGTTTTAAATATTTCTGAACTGTCCATCATGATAAATGTGTATTCGTCTGCATTATTTACCCTGTAGTTGGACTCAAAACATGCAAAGGAAGGTTTCCTTCTTGTGGACAACTGATGACTGCAGCATTACTGTCTCTAACTTTAACACACTTGACACACCCACCACTGTTCCTTCAACATATGTATGTTGACTCAGAAATATTTGCTGTCATGTTGGAAGTAGTGGATGTTTAATCAATTAATTGATCAGTTATTTAATCAAGTGCTTTTTATATTTACTGTGTAATTCATTCCAAAGTCAATGTTATTCATCCAGAGTACACAGCCCTCACTGTCTAGAGTGCACACAGATCACTAAAGTCATTAGGTATTTGAATAATCACGAGTTCATTAACAACCACAGAAACTGACAGTGTTAACACATACCTGGGTGTGAGTCTGAGAATGCCAGCATGTGTGAAGCCTCTCTGAGAGAGAACTGTAATTTTTGACAAGCAGAATCATTAAACACTCTGAGGATGATGGGTTCCCCCCACGGCTTCGGTAAAATTGTATGAACTATGTATAGATATTAAATCACAGCTTTTTCGGCCCAGCAGGCGTCTGAGGTTGGCCAAGTGCTGATTGCAGAGACAAAGCGAGTCAAACAGCCATCTGTTTGTTTGTTTGTTTCATGTTCCACAGCAATAATAAGGCCCTCTGCGTGTATTTAGACAAGACACTGGCTTTGATTGGCTGTTCTTCTAAACACAGCCGGCTGCCATATGCTTCAGCTGCCATCGGCATCGCTCGCTGCAGCCAGTGAGGAGGAGAATCGCAGAGAGTGAAAGAAGCTGTCAACAATCCTTCATAAGGAGAACTCATGAGAAGCAGCAGTGGCAGTTAACAGGCAGTCATTTGCCAGGGGAGCAGTGTCAGCAGTGTGCCCTTCAACGGAGAGGCAGGACCAGGGTTGTTATCAGATGAAACTGAATAATGAGACAGGCATCACATTTACAACCTGCCAAGCTGGAAATGTCAGTAAAAATCAGTCCCTGTTGACTCATCATACAGGGTCACCTCAGTTCTTTGACTTAGTTGGTCACCAAATTCAGCAATATGCAAAATATACCTTGATAAACAGTTCGTGAACTTGTAATTCTCAAATGTATTCATATTCACATGCAGAAAGAGCCAGTCTTTTATTTTAAACAGGCCTTTAATTATTACTCTAATAAGAATATTTCGACATATTTTAGTAAGAAAACTTCCTGAATTCATTTTTTGTTTTTGTTTTGTTTTTATTAGCTGTTGAGACAAACTCAAAACTTTCCCATGTTCACATGATATTATGATACTTTGTCCGGCTGAGCCGTTGTTAAGACCAGTTTCTTTCACCTCAGACTTTTAACGAAGGTTAAGCCTTTTTTATCCCGGGAAAATTTAGAAAAGGCAATCCATGCTTTTGTCACTTCGCGTCTAGATTATTGTAATGCGCTTTACGTTGGTATATCTCAGTTGCTGCTGAGGAAACACCAGCTGGTCCAAAATGCGACAGCTCGGCTTCTGTCCAACACTCCCAGGTTTGCCCACATTACTCCGGTTCTTCACACATTACACTGGCTGCCTGTACATTTTAGAATTGAGTTTAAGATTCTTTTATTTGTGTTCAAAGCCTTATACGGCCTTGCCCCACTTTACTTGGCTGATCTTTTATCTATTTATGTGCTGCGTAGATCTTTGCGCTACTCTAAAAACCTATATCTAGTGGTCTCACGGTCCCGATCCAAAAAATGGGGTGACCGCGCATTTGCCGTTTATGGCCCTAGACTTTGGAACTCGCTACCGCTAGAGATTCGATCTACGACCGAGCTAGAGGTTTTTGAATCCAGATTAAAAACGCACCTTTTTAAACAAGCGTTCGATCTTTAATTTTTTCTATCTGCCGTTGAATGGCATCGTGCACATGTTTTATATTTTATGATTATCTGGGTATTGTTTAGTAGCGTTTTGTCTGTTTTAGTATTGTTTTAGCGTATAGTTATCCTTATTCTGTGCAGCACTTTGGGCTCTGTGAGTTGTAAAGTGCTATATAAATGATGCTTATTATTATTATTATTATTATTTTCTCTTATAGTAACTCACAGTTCAGAAGCTGCAGATTAGAAGCTGGCTTCAGCATTGAGCTATTTGCATTTTTAGAGGTCAGGCTCTAGTTGATGCAGTAACAGAATGTGATTCAGAAGTGGGGGATTCAGGTTAGCCTCACATTACAGAGCCATAGACATGTTATAAAGGAGACTTCCACAGAGAGGAAATATAGCATGTTCTACATCAGAAATACCAGTATTATGTCAGTGAAAATGTCCTGCTTTTTTTGCTTTTTTGTTTAACCAGCTCAGCCAGTTGTGGACTCATGTCCTGCCAACCTGACTCAGGGCCTTTTTTTATTTAACCCTCCTGTTATGTTGCGGGTCAAATTGACCCACGAACATAACTGCTGTAAATGAGACAAATATTTGATATGTAGAAATGAACTTAATAGAAGCACAATTCAATACAAACAGCTGCATCAACTGCATAACAGGATGCATCAAATAAACAAAAGTAGGAATAATACATTAAATAACTTAAGTTAATATAAAGCAGAAAAGAAAAACAGGCAGGACAACATGAAACAAAATAGATAATGAGCTCATTGTTGCAAAAGGAACATTTTTCTTCTGTTTGTGTGTAAATGTATTTACAAATAATTGAGTTGAACTGGTAAAATGTACGTAAAATTTTAAAGGAAAGTTCTTTATCTTTGTTGGATAACACAAATGTGTAGGGCAGAATAAAGTGTCTCACTTCCTTTTGTGTGAAGGTGTTCCTGGGGAATGTACCAAGTGCTGGCTATGTAGAGGGGGGTTGTGATGTCTTTTAAGATAATTGCAGCTTTTGAGGGTTAAGCAGCAAATGCATCAGTATAATAAAAATATATAAGAATATAATAAAAGAATGTATGCTGCATGGGAGCAGCATGTGCAGCAGTCAACAGTCAATGTGCAATTATGCATGTGCATCATCTCTTTCATCTTGTCCATGTTGAGGCGGGAGATTATTGTCCTTGCACCATGACACCAGACTGGCCACCTCCCTCCTGTAGGCTGCTCCGCCAGTGATGCGTCCTATCACTATGGTGTCGTCCGTGAACTTCAAATGACCAAAAAAGACCCCACAAATGACAAATACAAGAATGTGTGTGTGTTACTTGAGTACTTCCTATATGATGACTTCAGTCTCTTGATTAATCTTCATTTGAATATATTTTTATAATGTCTTGTACAGTATAAATTATTTGTACTTTATGGAAGTGATGGATGATAATGAGATTCATTTTATTTCTGCTAAAAATATCTCACCCTGTCGCCAAGGTCAGGGCTTGAGCAGGAGCTACTGTAAATGGTGGAGGGCAGAGAAAAAGAGCTCTTCTTTTTCCTTATCAACCTCTGTGAACCCTGCAGTGTCGCTGCTCATTGACCTACCATGCAGATCTATGGTTGCACAGAACACACACTTACTCTTCCATGTTTTGTCACTTACCAGGCCTTTACTGTACATATACAGCACTTACATTCATTTCCTGGAGACTTACCCTAATCTAGTAATCTTTACCCAAATCTGGATCTTACACTAACCTTAAACCACATTATTTTATTTTGAGGGATAGTGTGCTCCTGGATTTTGGTCCTCAAGTATAGGAAAAAAAGGCAACATACACACACGGTGGCAGGTGGTGGTCATTTATCAGATGAACTATAATGAGGGCATTAATCCAAGAACACTGGGATGGGTTAAGAAGTACCCTGAGTCACCAAGCCTTCCCAGCATGATGGCTCTGCATCTGAGCCATGCTCTGTGTGTGTACGTGTGTGTGCATGGCCCAGTACATAATGCTTGTTTACTGTCTCTGCAGGTAAAGCCCAGTGATGCAACACTGACTCAGCGGGTACCAGAGATCTTGTTTCCATGGCACAGCGTGGTTGTCAGGGGTGATGGTGCTCTGAGGCGGGTGAAGAGGGACTGGGTCATTCCGCCCATTAGCGTCCCTGAGAACTCAAGAGGACAGTTCCCAGAGGACCTAGTCAGAGTAAGACACACACACACACACACACACACACAAAACCATCCATTATCTATACCGCTTATTCCTGAATAGGGTCGCTTCGGGGGCTGGAGCCAATCCCAGCTGTCAGTGGGTGAGAGGTGGGGGTCCACCTTGGACAGGTCACTAGTCTGTCACAGGGCAGACATGTAGACAGACAACCACACACACTCACATGCACTCCTATGGGCGATTTAGAGTCATCAGCCAACCTAAGCTGCATGTCTTTGGACTGTGGGAGGAAGCCGGGGTACCCGGAGAGAACCTGCATGGGAATTCCGCACAGAAAGGCCCTGGGTCGGCCGGGGCTCAAACCTTGGGAACCTTCTTGCTGTGAGGCGACAGCGCTAACCACTGCACCTCTGTGCCGCCCTCACACACACAACCTTAACTGCCAAATCCAATTCAAATATATGTCCACAGCAGGTGTGTGATGATACACTTAGGTCACATGACAAGATGATCCATGATATTGGGTTCACGAGAATGAGATGAAATGATATTTTAACTGTATTTTTAAGAAATCTTTAATGATGAAATATATGACTGGGAAATAGTTTTATTTGACTGAAAGTTACAGAATGCAGAACAATGCAGAAATGTGTTAACTAGTCATACTCTAACAAATGTTCACTTCAGTTTAGTAAAAGGCTTTGCCACAGACTCAGCTGACTGGCTTCTCTCCTTTGTGATTTCACATGAGTCTCTTCAGACCTTAGAACTGTGCATGAACTGTGCATGAGCTTCTAACTTCTAACTGAAGCTCTGTGGGACCTTCTATTCTATGCTGACTCTCACAATGCCGCACTGGACAGTGACATCAAAGGCACTGCATTGACCAATCACGTATGGGGGATGATCAGGGATATGTACGCCCACTGGAAGAAGACTCTTTCGTTTACCTTGTTAGCATGAGCATTCGCTGCAATTCACTGTTGAATTTGTGCCACATTTAACACACCACAATGACACGCCATGCATTTTCATTAGTACTGGATATTAAACGATCTTTTTTATCTACCAGTGCTGACACCCTGGTGGTAGAATTAGTGCTAAGGTAGAGTAAGCTATGTTAGCACTATGGCTAACCAAAACACAACTGAAACTCAAGGGTTGGAAAGATGAATAAAGCCGCTCACATTGACTCATCACAACATGGCCATATTGTACCTGCCTGTAACAGTCCTACTGCAACTCCTCACTCCCTGGCCAACGCGGCCCCTATGTGTTAAAACACAGCAGGGAGTTGTCTTTTTGTTGGCCTAATGTGAATGTACCATCAGTTTGTTGTCACACTCCATCATACTGGCTGCTGCTCCAGTTCTATTATGTACTGCTATCACGAGACAGCTCTTGCCTCTGAGAAATGTTGGCACGTTCTAATATTACAAGAGAGCTCATCACTCCCCTAATCCACTGCAAAATAAACCCAATCAAATGCACAGGAAACCAGCAAATGCTGCTAGTCTGTGTTTAAATGTTAACCCAGAAGCAGACCTAATGAAACCTGACAGTACTCCAGTGGCTGGGAGCACAAAAACTAAAAGCGGCTTCACCAACTGCATTTGCATTAACTCTTGCAACATTCACATACTGTATGACCTTAGAGATCTCACACGCCTGTGAGATATATACTGTGGAGCAAGGCAATACAGGGCTTTAAAGAGACTAAATGCAATTTAAGAATTTAAAAGTAAATTGTAGAATTAATGTAACTGGAAGTCGGTGCAGACATTTGAGAACCAACTTCCATGGTACTGAAATGTTTAGCTCTATAATTATGCAGCATACACTGGTTTGGATAATGTGAAACAGCAGTGGACCTAAAATAGATAATACATTATATCTTACTTATGCAGGGCCAGATTTACTAAGAAATTGGACTTGTGCAAATGCACCCTGGAGAGGCAGATTATGCATGCAATCCACTCCTGACTGATTCTGGTACTTCCCACGACACAAAAACAAATGGTAATGCAGTCGTCTTGATTAGACATTATTGACTTTGAGCAGCTCCAACTGAGAAAAACTGTTTCAATTACTCAAATTACTCATACAATAATGATATTAAGATCTTTAGCATATGTGTAACTATTAATACACATACTAATATGAGACAAATCAAAGACGCACATCATATACACAAAGTACACACAGCACTGCAACTAGTGAGAGAGAGGGAGAGAGAGAGATGGATGGACAAACGGAGCAGGTCTAGGAGAGTGGAGCAGGACATGGTGTTAAATGGAGGTTAATTCTGAGGTAAATGCAGCCAAACACACATAAATACTTTATCTTTACAAATCAGATTCAGTTGCAGTTTGTAGTGATTGTCAGATTCTGGTTTGATGAGCACAAACCAAAACAGCCAGGCAGTATTTTTGTTACAGCAATCACATATTGCAGTCATTAATAACCAGCCTGCTTGTTTTTTGTTTGTATTTAATACATATTTCTGTTCCTGCTGCAGACTTCCCTGTAGCGTAAACATGGCTCAGATGGGTTTATCTGCACTGTGTTTAGGCCTCCTTTTCAAGGCAGGGAATTTTCTTCACAAAACAGACAGTTGCAAATACTCTAAATCCAGTGGAATGCATAATCATCATCTGTTATGATGCATCCTTTGGTTATTTGCACAATTCGTCCTTAAATATGTATGCAGTGATGAGGGGCGCGTTTGCATATGCTCAGACAAATGACATGCAAAGTGTGACTCCACCCTATGGTGTCTACTTGATAAATACAGCACTTGTTGAGGCAGAACACAACACATCTGTGCTAAAATAAAACAGCAGTACTAAATCTGCAGCAGATGTGACCCAAAGTTCTTAAAATACATAGAAACATGTTGTCTTCTTAGATCGGATATAAGACAAGTGACACACACAAGCCTGTCACTCAGGCTTTTCAGCTGAGAAACTGTCTGGAATAAAAACAGCCACACTTATCAGAATTTTCCTGGCTATTTTTTTGCATTTTATCATGCAGTAAGTTACATATACAGCTGGGACTGCTACAAATGAAATAACTATAGTAGGGGGGGGGAATTTCAGGCTATGGAAGAAAATTTTAGTGCTTCTGTTAGCATGAATGTTACGGGGCCGGGGGGGGGGATTTCAGGCTATGGAAGAAAGTAGAAAGGTAAAGATGCTAGTTTAGTGCTTCTGTTAGCATGAATGTTACAAGGGCTTATCCACATATGTTCTTTGTATTCCAGTTCTGAACAAAATCCCACTGTTTTTTCTTTTAAGTGGATAAAATGTTAACTGTAGTTATACAGTTGCCGTTGAACCTGAAGTGATTCTTGTAGGTAAAAGAGACTCGATTTGAATTTTCATTTCATCCCTATTTTCATGTGCTGTTTTTGTGTTTTGCAGTCATGTCCCTGTGCTTGTCGAGGCTTGTCTTCACAGCACTGTCTTCCTCTTCTCTGTTTTGATCTCATGGATAGCATGCAGGATATTAATGGTGCACCAAGCATCACAGTTTATTTTGACTTCAGTAGAAATCAGAGTTTTTGTAGATATGTAGCAGCAGCCTCAAGCATTTGCTGTGTTGCCTGTGTAAGCCTAAAGTCATCCTGACTTACGAGACACATCCAGGTCACACTCAGAAAGTTAAGCTTCACTTTTATTATATCCTTACCTTTTAAAAAGGAAGTTGTGTTTACTGGGAAGAAATATCTCCCAAAACACACTGATGGAAATACAGGCAGAAGATGACACAAAACAGTTTCAAAAAACAGTTTATTTTGTGTTTTGTGCTGGCACTTTTCCACACCTGTACCCACCTAATCTTAAAATAACAAGTGGTGTTCCAGCTCCGTGCTGTGTATATTAACTGTAAATACCTTTCTTCTCCTCCCCTCTCTGTCTCTGTCTGTTCCTCAGATCCGCTCAGACCGGGATAAGAACCGGATGCTGCGTTATAGTGTGACAGGCCCCGGGGCTGACCAGCCCCCGACCGGTATCTTCATCATCAACCCGATCTCAGGCCAGCTGTCCGTCACCAAGCCTCTGGACAGAGAGCACATCTCCAACTTTCATGTAAGCTTGTTATATATACAGCAGCAGCTGAGGCAGCAGTGGAACTGTGTGTGTTCTTATTTACTATGGAGTCTCAATGAGGTGTTTTGCCAGAAAAAAAGAAGAAAAGCACAACTAGAAATTGCACATTTGGTCTCATGGAATAAAGCGTTCCCATTAGGCATGGGAATGAAGAACTGGTTTCATTTAAGAACCAGTTTCAAATTGTCAGATCCATCAAAATGCTACACCTCCAAGGTAATCAGTTCCTTCCTATCAGTGCTGGTGTGTTTTTCTGAAAGTTGTGAATTGCAAAAATGTGTGCGAGGCAGGGAATGGATGCTGGCTTGAAGATGAGAAAGAATAGATGCAGTTACACATTTTCAGTTCTGAGGTACATCAGCTTCACTCAGTGTTAACAATCAAAAAGATGCATGAGTAACATTACATCTGAGAAATTATTTGAATGCACCAGCGTGAGTGACTTTGAGTACTTGTTACCAAAGTATTCAAAAGTAAAACTATCAGCTGATGATCAGTTTCAAAATGTCCCGATGTGTAGAGGGTGAACAGAAAGGGGGAAAGCACCGACCCCTGGGGTGCCCCTGTGCTGCAGACTGCCACACCCAACACACGGTCCCGCAGCCTTACGAACTGAGGTCTGTTTGTGAGGTAGTTTATGATCCATTCAGACAGGTTGGTCCACACCTGCCCCCTCCAACTTCCCCCTCAGCAGTGATGGCTGGATTGTGTTGAAAGCACTGGAGAAGTCAAAGAACATGACCCTCACAAGACTTCCGGGGGACTCCATGTGAGATAGGGCTCGATGCAGCATGTAGATAATAGCGTCGTCTTCCCCCATGCCAGGTGTTAGAAGTTAACCCAATTCTTTTGTTGGAAGCATGAGAAGTGAAGACAGGAGATGACTGTTTAAAATCAACAGAAAGTTCACTGAAAGTTTGATCACAGGTAGGCCTTACAGCGCTGGATTCAGAGAGCCAGAGCTCCCACAGGAGATCCGACTTCTGAACCATGAACTATGTTTTTACAATACATTTATCTTCTTGGGCTGCTCCGCCCTGGACAGAGGTACTATACTCAACACTTTGTAATCCTATTGGTCATTTGGCATGTTAACTCCTGCCTGACAAAACCAGGTGTGTGTGTGTGTTGTGATGTGATTTTCCAGGCGGCAACTGAACAATGGGTCATCTGCGCTGTAGACCCCCTATCTGTGTAATCCTATTACAGGACAAAGCAGGACCTCATGAATACAAACACTATGTCTACACAGAAGTTCATTCATTCATTTATTCATTCATTCATTTTCTTCCGCTTAATCCCTGAACGGGGTCACGTGGGGGGCAGAGCCAATCCTGGCCGGCAATCGGGCAAAGGCGGGGTACACCCTGGACAGGTTGCCAATCCATCGCAGGGCTACACAGAAGTTAAAGTAGTCAATTTCTACTTCAGTATCACTTGACTCTCATCAATACAATTGTAAGATATATATGCAAGGAAGATAAATGTATTAAAGTAGCCAAAGCTCAGTAGTTCTGGACAATCATCAATACAGTTTTAACATGTATAAGCAAGGAAAGTAAAGGTATGAAAAGTAACTAAAGGGAACTAAAGGTATGAGAGGTAACAAAAGCTTATAAAGTACTG